ATGCAAGGCTGTGATTGGCAAAAAAGGATTCGCCACAAAATATTGATAGCGAAACACAGCTTGGTCAACATTTTGTGGAGTTGTATTAGTTTTCTCCAGAAAAAAATCAACTTTTTTTAATACTTTAGATTAATTTATTAGTTTTTGTGTGCAAATAATGAACTTTAATATGAATAAAATTTTAAGAACGTTGTCTCTAAACATTTACATAGTTATTTTTATAAATTGAAAAAATGCAGCACTTTTATATTAGAAAACAAAATTATCATTATATATATAAGGCTGCGCTACTTTCATTTTTTTTTTTGAATTTGTTCTAATAATGACTTCTTTTGATCCAAGTTTTAGACAAGCATATTTTTTAACCTTAACTTTTTTAAATTTTCTTTCTTTCAAATGTTGAAATTTTTTAGTATTCCAACTTCGTTTAATCTAGCTTGCGTTTCATTTTCTATTATCGTGATCAAATCAGATATATGAGTGACAATGTTGTTCATTATTAAGTAAAGAACTGATGCTTTGTTTAATAAAATTCTTTAAGTGTTGCTATATATAATTGTTGTTGTTATTATAAGTTTTCTTTTTTAAATTTTTATACCGTGCTTATAAATGTTTTTAATTAATTTTAAACTTTCTCATTTAAAATTAATGTTAGCATTTTTTGTTTTCTTGAATTTCAACTTATATATTTTTTATAACTTATAATTTGTTTTCATGATTATTTAAACTTATACAAATAGAGTTAATACATTTTTACTCTATTTATATAAGTTTAAATAATCAAGATGATAAAAATGATGATAAAAATAAATGTTCTGCATTATCCCAGTGGGCAAGCGTCGTACGGAGGAAATCCACTGGATGTCTAAAGGACGTCCAGACGTCTTTAAGACGTCTGGTTTACATCCCCCAGACGACCCTTGCCAACTGGGATTAACCTAGTATCTGATTATTTCATAATTGTGAGATCAGATTTTTATTTATTTAAATTTTTTGTGGAGCCCTAGATCTAACACAATTAGATTTAGATCTAAGACAATTAAAAACAGTAGTAACATCGTTTAATTATATTTTAATAGACAATAACTAAATAAATTAAACATGAAATATAAATATAAAAACTAAAAGTTTGACATAAAATTTAATTTTTGTAACAAACTTTTACAATTGTATTTATTTATGAAATCATACAATAACATAATGCTAGAACATATATTGTAATAAATGCAAGAACATATACTATAATTTAAAGTGTTAACATTGCACTTTAGTCATTGTCTAAGTATTTAATAGTTAATGCAGGATTTAAAAAAGTAGAAAAAACTTGGCCATTTCGCTTGAAAACATGAACCATTACTTAATATAATTATCCTAAAATTATTTTTCTATGATTTTATTATTATTACTATTCTAGATTGATCTTTATAGTGTTGTTTTGAGTGTCCGACAGTTGTTAAATGATTTTTTCAATCCATAAAGTGTAAAACAATGATTCAAAAACTTATTGCGACCATGTAATTATTGTAGAAAAGTTTATAACTTTCTTTTCAATGTGTTTTTTGAGTGTGCTTTTCAGTGTTTTTTTTTTTTTTGTGTGTGTGTAGTCTTGATATATTTTATGATCATGTGAATACTTTTAACGGATAACTCTTATCTAACTCACGTAAAAGTATGTATAAGAAGCCTGAAATACTTTTTAGTTGCATACTTTAATGTGGTTTAGAGTAATAGTTTGTAATGGTGATGAACATGGGAGTATTTTTAATGAATAAAGCTTGAAATGTTACACAAAAAGTATGAATTTTAGCTCTGTATACCTACCTGATTTAAAATGATTAGTTACTTTTACGAGTGTTTTAGTGTGTTTTATTTTGATATTCTAGAGTTATAGTTTTATTTTAATATTCTAGAGTTATAGTTAATAAGTCACCAGCCCTCAGGAGTATTTTTTAATGAAATAGCTTCGAAAATTAAGCTAAATCATTAAAAAACATCATGACAATGTTTTTTATTACTTTCCACGCTGCAAAAAGAGATTTTTGTAATGTATAGTAAAATGCGAACAAAAAGTGCAAAATAAAACACTGTGAGCTGTGAAAAATGTCCTGGAAAAGAGGTTTTGTTTCATTACACTTGCAATTTTTTTAATGAAATTAAAGTCAAGTTCATTTTTGTTATTAGAAAATCAATAACAAATTATAAAGTGCGTAATTTTGATAGGCTTGATAAAAGCAAGTGTGTTATTTGCTCCAATATAGAAAGTGTATTCATTCTACCGATTTTAATTGAATACTATTTGGTTTTACAAATGTATTTTTTAAACTATTTTTCATTTTACTACACAATACAGGGTTCACACTCTGGTCTCAGCTAACAAATGATCAGGAAATGATGCAGCTAGAGCTCTTCTCGTTATACTAGATTAAATAGTTGCAGATATATTTATAATTATATGAAAAATTACAAAGTATTATTGAAATAAATATGGAAGTAGCTGGATTTATCAGAATACTAAAATACATTTGTCAAAAGAATCTAATTAAGTTGATTTAAAATAAAATAGACCAGACGATGAACATTCAAGTTGTTGTCAAAAAATAATCGTTGCTTAAAAATGTTCCATATGCTAAAACAATATGGAATTTTGAACTTGAGTAGTTTATTTTAAAACTTTTAAGCAATGAAAAAAAAGGAACAAAAAGATCAAGCAAATTAAAGTTGTGTATAAAATTTCAAATTAAGAAGGAATTTAAAATGTCATTACAAAAAAGGGTGAACGTATATACCAGCTTATGAAATGTTAACTAGATCACATTTTTCTATAAAAGTTTTCAGTTAAATTCAATCTGGAATAGATAAATACGATTTTAAAGAAATAATAGGCGAAACAAACATTTATAAAGTTTTGCGTTCAAATTCACAAATTACAATAAAAACCCAGATTTAAAAAAATTACTTTGGAGGTTGAAAAAATTTAATGGTGCATATTTTTTTGTTCAAAAAGTGATACACAATAAATACCTTACAACACAGCCCCCGGGAATCAGTAGTGATGATGTTTTTTTTTTAATTTTAAACTATGATTTATAAGATAATCTGACATAACCTACAGTTAATGTAAGTAAGTAATTTTTAAATGGCAACGAAATTGCAAGATTTATAACATAATAATAATAGTTTATTACAAGATAATTCAATCAGTTTAAAAATTCATTAACCTTGCAGCTTAAAATATAAAAAAAGATCTCTGGTCACTCCTTTTTTGATCCTGTTAAAAATGTTTAAAAAAAACATATTTACTTAATTAAACGCCACAATTTTTGACAAATAAGATTAATAGATTGGATTTATAGGAATTACGTAAAAGCTTGCGCAAGATTTTTTAACTTACTTCAAACCTGTGGACAAGTTTTTAAAACGAATTTCAAAAATTCCGACATTCGAAGTAAGAATTGAGCAAACAAACAATGTTACTTTTTTTTTCTTTTTACATAAATCTCTATCTTTTTATATAAATCTCTATCTTTATCTACAATAAAGAGTTTATAAATTTAGCTGTAAAAAAACAAACCGTCGACAAAATATGCAGTATTATAATTGCGCAAATTGTGTAATGCGCTAGCAATTGCACGTAGTGTTCGTACAACTTTTAAAAAATTCGACTGTAAACTAATTTATTTTTAAAAATCAACTAATATATTTTTGAAATCGAATATGTCGACCAAAAGGCCGAAAAATGGTAATAAATTTTTTTTCTAAATAAGTTACAATAAAAATATTATTATAATTTTTATTTGCTTTTTATTTTTTAACATCATCTTATTAAAATTATAACGAAACAAAATAATATGCGAGCAAAATAATATTTTGCCTTGAAGTTGTTGGAGTACCTCTGTTTTTACTTAATTCGATAGAGTGGCCTTCTCTCTAACAAAATCTAATTAAAGTCGGCTTCTTTAATCAAAAATAACAAACTACGCAGTTGTTATTTTTACTTCACAAGTTGAATTAGATTTTTTTTTATATTTTATTTGATGATTTGTATTTTTATTATTAATTTTTTTTTTTTATTAATTTTATTATTGTTCTTTTTTATTTTGTGTTCACATGATTTTCACCGAAGAAATAATTATGAAAAGGTATTATTAAGTTATTAACTTGAGAAACAAGGTTTTATTGTATAATAAAAGGTTTTATAAACAAGAATAACAAATTAAAAAAAACATAAATAAGGTCAAAGTGTTCTTGAAGTTAACAAAAAAACACACAAATAAGATGTAGAAAATTAAAAAAATAATAGCAGTTTAGGTTTCAAACTCCATAAGAAAAACTTTAGATAAATAAAATATTTTGATAGTAATGGATTATGTTATTCAAAAGCGTTAAAATGTTTATTTTAAAAATCCGAAATTAACAAAAATATCGTTTGAAATTTTTGAAAAAATCAGTGCAATATATTTAAGTACTTTTATTAATTTATTTAACACGCGTTAATCGGCAAAACAATCTAACCATTATTACTTATTGTAGAAAAACTCTTATAAATGCAAAATATGCGAACTGGAAACACACTAAAAAAATCTCATTTTGGGAGGGTAATTGCATGGTCATTAACCAATAGAATCCAATCTAGCTTATTGCTGTGATATATTAAGAACTACCTCTCTAAAAACCGACATTATACGCCGTTTGGCTGCGAAGAATAAAGAGAACGCAAGTTAACAAATTCTTACTCTACTAATCCATAATGTTAATAATAGTACATGAACAGTTTAAAGACGCATAAACACTATATTCTTTGATAGTATTGTGCTGCATTTAAGTCACTCATAAATAATGGCATGATCAATACCTATCCAATACATTTCGATTCTTATTAAGAGGTTTATACGTTTATACATATATACTACTTAAATAATAAGTGCGTCATTACCATGTAAATAGTAAATATATAATATAAATATTATATTTTATAATCATAATATAAAATATGAACTTACTGAGGTATTTGTACTTGTTTGATTCATTTCTTTGACAAAGCTAAAAAGAATTTTATAAAAAAATAAAACTATTTTAAGATTCTAGCCAATCAACTTTATAACACGTAACTTAACCAATCAAACTAAATAATATATTATTAAATTACTTAAAGCAAGTAAGAATTTTTGTATTTTAAAAATGCGTCGTTTTAAAAACATGTGACTGCTCTTTGTTTCAATTTAATTTAAGTATGAGATTAGGACATTTTCCTAACGGATATCTAAAAGCAAAACTTTTAAGTGGTTTACGATTTAATTTTATAGCTGAGAAAAGTGTACCGAGACGTCCATATTACATTAATAATCATAAACAACGAGAAAAGACGCATAGAATATAGGAATTCTAAATAATAAATTTACATTGTTTGTTGTGATATACAAAATTCAAAATTTTAAAAAATAAATAAGAAAAAAAAAAACAAATTAAAAAAAAGTGATATTGATGGAAAATATGCACTATAAACTTATTAGCTATATACTCATATAATTAATTTACAAATATTCTTATACCTGTCAGAATTATAACCTTTCGGTGTGGTAATAATTCTAATGTCTAATGACATAAGGGCATGATAAAGAAATTAAAAATATTATTCAACTATGAACTGATTAGTTCCATAATTACGTAAAAATAATGTAAAATCTTATATCTGCCTGAATTATTACTTTCCCATAAGTAGGTCACAAAACATGGGTCTGAGATATCACGAAGAGAAAGGGTCAAGATTGGCTGCGATTAGGAGGGGGGGGGGAAAGGTAGGGCATATTTTTAATTCGTGTTTGAAATAATAAATAATTTTTATGTTAACTCACTCTATTATTTATGCAGGGTTAAAACAAAATAACTAACCCTACCCCCCGTCCTTTTTAAGGGGAAGACAGAGACTTAGAAATCAAAATTTGACATGTTATTTTAAAAACATTTATAACAATATGTTTTTTAAAGTAAATAAAGACCTAACTTATAGTATAAATATTACAAATGTTAAATACTTTATTACATACAATTTATTTAATATTAGCTTGCAATGTATAAATATTACTTTAAGTTTTTTTTTAACATTTTCGACTCCTACAAGATTGCAAGTTATCACTATTAGAGTTGAAACTTACTTGAAATTTATAAAGCAAGATAACAATTAACAGGCGACATGAAAAATTGCTAATTGTATGAATTAGGAAGCAAGTTGAAGGAAGCAAACTCTATTGAACTGATGCCAGAGAAAAAAAAAGGCTAATAAGAGATATTGCAGCACAAAGGAACAGATATAAAAAAAAGAATAAGACTTAATTGAATAACAAGGAACATGAGCATAAAGTTTAATAAATGGCACACGAGACGCTACCTCTTTAGAACAGTGCCCGTTATAGAATTTGTAAAAAAAAGAAAAAGAATTGACATTATAACGATTTCATAATGGCTAAAGGTCAGCTGCAACTACAGGTCAAACTAAGTTTAGAATGCGTTTTTGTACCTTGTCTAAAAGAGAAATGGGAAACTTTGAAGATACGGTTAAGATATGGCAACAGAATTCTATACATGGACGGACTTGAAATTTATATAGATAGAAAATAGAATCGGGAGTAAGAAAATGTAAATTTCTAGATAAAGAGATGCAAACTTAGAAGGTACATATTTTGCGATAAATTTGGTATACGGTTTTCAAGAAAAATTAAAAGTAAGATTTAATGAAGAACCCTGACTCGTCGGATACATCACCATTCAAAAATGTAAGAAAATCTAAATTATTGCGATAACAATTACCTGAAAAAATTAAGTTTTATCTGAATTAATGTTCACCAGCCACTGTGAGCCCCATGCCCTCTTCAAGAAATTAGAGAGTATTTGCTCTTTATTGAGACAAAAATAAATAGTAGTATCATCAGAAAAAAATGCAAGCTTAGATGTGAGAGTATCAAGAAGATCTTTAATGTAAACTAAGAAGAATATAGGGCCAAGGATAAAATCTTGAGGAATTTTTATGAAGAAGAGTACTATCCATGGAAGACGACATTTATAAAGGAAGGATTCAATATTCTTAAAGATTTTTCTTAAGACACATTAAGAGGAAAGCCTATGTAGAACACCAGTGTCAAAAACAAAAATGGGTTAAGAAGATAGTCCAAAAGATATTGCGTGAAAGATGGACAACTTTTTTGCTACGATAAAAAAAGAAACATGGATCTGTTAGTAGTTTTAACAAGTCAAAAACTATGATTCTCAAAGGCTGTCATTTGGTAATTCTTGATAGTGCTCACTTTGGTTGAGCTAAAACATTAGAAAAACTCTCAGAGAAGTACTACTGGAAAGAGATGGTAAATGATGTTAAGAATTTTTGTAAATATTGTAATAAATGTGGAAGAGCAAACAGCTATGTTTGTTAAATAATTTATATAATAAAGTTTATTATTTAATAATTACTTAAAACAAAAACAACAATAATTATTTTATTTTATATTAGTGCAGGTATTATTAATAATCCTTATTGGTATTATTAATAATAACTTAGATAATATACTATCTAAGTAATAACAAAAATTAAACATAATTGTGAAAAAATGTATTATCTAAGAAAAATATTACCTAAGTAATAACAAAAATTATACATTATTGTAAAAAAGTTTTCAAATAATATAAAAATATAAATACTTGTTTAACTAAAATTATAATTTGTAACTAACCTTAAAAACGCATAATTTCTATTATTTCTTTCATAATATGCTTTATAGAGTTTTTTGAAAAACACTCAGTTGAACTACATCCTATTAAAGCTAAAGATGAAGTATGGAGTTTGGTTGAAGTTAAATTGGACCTCTTCCTTTAACAGAAAAAAGGAAACAAATACATCATTACAGCAACGTGTTTATTCTTCAAGTGACCTAAAGCAGCTTACTTATCTGATGAAACAGCTTCAAGAGCAGCAAAGTTCTTGTGAACATGCTTTACAAGACATAATTGTTGTAGAGTTCAGATAAGGATTAAAGGAAGAGAGATTGATGATGAGGTATTGTGTTGGATTTTGTTTATTTATTTGTCTTTTTTTTTGTTGCAGTTATTTTTTAGTTTTCATTACTTTTTTGGAAAAAGCTCTATTTTTATATAACATGATTCTATATCGAAAAGTTGATATGTTATAATTGGATGTGAAGAGTTAATAAAGAATAAGTTATAACTTTTAAAACTTTAGACTTGTTCATTTAAATTGATAAACAAAATGAGAGTTAAAAAAAACAACAGTTAATCAGCCTCATCTGCAATACTTATATAAAAAAATCTTTTTCAGGCTTTGTCAATATTTTGCACAACAAAAATGTTTTTTGCCAAAACTTGCTTAACTTAATACTTTTAATAACTGATTTGTATTTATTACCTTATGTTATTCGTGTTTACTATTTAATAAAAACCTATACGAACATTTTTTGCAGGCTATTTTATAATAAGTCTATTTTCATATATTATTTCTCTTCATATAAATAGTTTTTTTTTGTTTTTGTTTTGTTTAGGTAAACCATAATTTACATAAAATGATGGAAACAGTGTGCAATGTTACAAGTACCTACTACCCACAGGCTAACGGTCAAGATAAAAGGTTCAATCGAACTCTTCAGCGTCAACTTTTAAAATATATTGATAAAAAGCAAACACGTGGGATCTATATATTAAGAGTATTAAGTTTTCATATCGTGTCTTTGTTCAAGGGTCTACTAACAAACCCTATTTTATCAAGTTTAGGGGAGACAAGCTAGGCTTGTCAAAACAAAATCAAAAAAAAAGTGATTTTGAAAAAAAACCTACAATTGATGACAGTTTAAAAAATAGAGAAATTCTAAAGAAAAATGTAATTGAAATGCGAAAAAAATGCACTACAAAATATTGAAAAAGCACAGAAACGCCAAAAAAAAAAAACATATGATGCCAAATATTGTTCAGAAAACCAGTTATTTAAAGTTCGCACTCAAGTGTTAATAAAATATACTAAAAAATTTTCCAGAAAAGGTTGAAAGATGGAGCCAAATTAGACTGGTTCATACAAGTGTTACCAAGTTTTAAAAAGTATACTTTTTGTTTATGTTATATAAATGATTGTAATAAGAAATTAAAACAAGTATACAATATGACTCTTTGGAAGATTTATTACCCAAAGTCTGAAAATATGGTTTGAAATAATATTGTTGAAATAGTCCAAAATAACTCTGATGAAAACTCTAAATCTAAATCTGAACAACTTTCTATTTTTACGCTGACAATGACAATTTTTGACAAATAAGATTAATAGATTGGATTTATATGAATTACGTAAAAGCTTGCGCAGGTTTTTTTATCTTACTTCGAACCTGCGGACAAGTTTTTAAAACGAATTTCAAAAGTTCCGACATTCGAAGTAAGAATTGAGCAAACAAACAATGTTACTTTTTTTTTTCTTTTTACATAAATCTCTATCTTTTTATATTTATCTCTATCTTTATCTACAATAAAGAGTTTATAAATTTAGCTGTAAAAAAACAAACCGTGGACAAAATGTCCAGTATTATAGTTGCGCAATTTGTGTAATGCGCTAGCAGTTGCACGTAGTGTTCGTACAACTTTTAAAAAATTCGACTGTGAACTAATTTATTTTTTAAAATCAACTAATATATTTTTGAAATCGAATATGTCGACTAAAAGGCCGAAAAATGGTAATTTTTTATATATATAATATATATCTATAAATATATATATATATATATATATATATATATATATATATATATATATATATATATATATATATATATATATATATATATATATATATATATATATATACATATACAGTCTTGCATAGTGGTCAAAAATTTTTTCCCATACTCTGTTGTTTTAAAGAGCGCGTTAATAAGCATGACCAGAAAATGTTCAAAAGTTTGCGGTTTTTTTTAAAAATAATAAATTTGAATGTACTTCAGCATTAAATTAAGTACTTTGACATTTTGATGACAATCAAATACAGCTTAAGAGACGAGGTAATAAAAATTGTAGTCGAATGAGACTTATGCGACCATAAAATTCTCTTTCGA